TTTCTTCACCATATCAGAGTCTCCATGTGTACTTGCGTGTTCTGATTGGTTGGAGTCTTTCAGTTATTGTGAGTTTGCTCACACCAGATTATTTTTATGTTGATTAGACCACATCTACAGTCTAGATGCACATACATACCCTTTTCCATACACCGTAATACACCGAATCATTCTACTTATATTAAATTAATCCAATAGCCTAGATTGGCATGTGTAACATCTTGTCATGTGTCACAATGCACCGGATTAACTCACTTAAGAGATTTCAGCAAACTTAAACAATTAAAACTGAGAAATTATGCATGCTTAATCGGACTAAAATAGAGGGTTATATGATTTTAGTTTCATATTCTTGTTTTGAATGATTCTTGGATTTTTTATGCATAATTGATTTTTAAGTTTAATCTTTGTATGTTAAAACATCTAAAATAATTTATCATGGACGTATGAGACTTAGGTTGAAGCTTAGAGGCCTTAACAACGAAGTTTTATGGTTTACAAAGACTGAATCGACGAAGAAAATGACCTTCAGCATCAATCGAGTTGATTCAGTTGGAACTGGCGACTCGATTGGCAATCGAGCCGACTCAATTGTAACCGAGCCTGCTTAGTTGGGCTGCGACTTTGGATTTTTGGTTTTAAGCATCCAGATTTGTTTAAATCTATTTTTAATCAACTATTAAATGATTAAATGAACTTGGAAAATCCCAGAATGCATAATCTACGTGCCAAGGATGTGGATAATTGGGAATTAAAGTCATATATATCTTTACAAAATTCTTTTTCTAGTGAGAGAGTCCTACAAAAAAAATTTCTTTTGAATCATCTGAAAAATCATTAAATAAAAAATAAGAAAGAAACATGAGGAACAAGAAAACGTGATAATAAATATTAAACACTCATTTAATCTGTAAGGGTCATTGCATATTCTTGATTATGTTTTACGACCTTTGACGAGAGGATATGGAGGGAGAGAGGATATGGAGGGAGGATACGTTATTACTTTCTTTGGATGGAGAGAAAAAATAATAATATTTTAATTTTTATTAACAACTATATTAATATATTTAAATTTTAAAATAACACGTACAATGACAATCACATAAAAATTGTAATATATAAATATTTTTAAAGTCTGGGATTTTTACCTCAGTACAATGACATTGTCCTTTCGAAAAGTATAATACATTGAACAAGTGACTGTATTGGTGATGTAAAACATGGAAATCTTTCGAAAAAGAGTTGGTGATTGGGACAGGGTGTGTCGCACGATTCTGTCGTGGCAAAAGGCACAACCACATCTTTTGAACTTACAAAAGTCAAGATAGTGAGTGGACCAAATTCTTCACCACCACATCTTCAAAGTGAAGCAAACAAAATTATTGTAGCGTCAAAAAAATAAAAAATAAAAAATAAAAAATAATAATTGAAGCAAACAAACTGTTTACAAAACAGCTAAACGATGAAAACTGTGAGCACCCAACTTAAACAAGAAGATACCTTTCCAAAAAAGACTTAAAACAAGACCATGGATGTGAAGGAAGCTCTTTACATGAACAGAGGAGAAGGAGAAAGCAGCTATGCTAAAAACTCCAAATTCACGGTACATTTTTGCAACTCTACACTTTATTTATTTATTTATTTTTTTGGTTCAATTTTCCATTTTTTTTTTCTAAGTTCAATTTCCCATTAAAAATTGAAGTTTTAGCCCAATCAACATAACCAAAATTGTTCTGTGCAGCAAAAAGTTGCTTCCATAACCAAACCCATAATAGAAAATTCAGTTCACTCTCTGTTTTCAAAAAAATTCCACCCAAGCAAGCCTCTCAATGTGGCGGATTTGGGTTGTTCTGCTGGTCCAAACACATTCTCTGTGATGAAGACAGTAAAAGAGACGGTGGAAAAGGAATGTAAGGAATTGAATTGCCAAACACCGGAACTTCTGTTTTACTTGAATGATCTTCCTGGTAATGACTTCAATTCTCTGTTTAAGGGATTGTCTATATTCTGTGACCAAACACAGGGTGCGTCTTTCTACGCGGTGGGAGTTCCTGGTTCTTTCCATGGCCGGCTTTTCCCTCGGAACACCTTACATTTTGCTCATTCCTCTTACAGTGCCCACTGGCTTTCTCAGGTACATACACACTCAACCAATTATATTAATATTAAATTCCTAATATATCTATACATATTTTAAATGTGTATGTGATGAATTCAATGTTCCATAAGTAGTTGGTCCTAGATTATTATATGGGATTGCTAGCCTACTCATGGTTCCTATAGCAACCACAGTAGATCACTCTAATCACCAATTCTGTCTGTCATCATGCCCTCTTGTATTTGACCTTTTTGATGTACAATTCCCAAAAAAAGATCCATTTTGCCGTGGGATTGGGAAATTGGATGTGGGATTTCATTCAAAAATCAAGCAAATGGAGAGATGTTGATGATTTTGATTCATTGTACATCATTCAAAGCATATTAGAGTACGAAATGAGAAGGAAAGAAAATAAATTTAACATGCCATATCTGTATTAGTATTTTTTTTCCAAGGACAGCCTGAATATGAGAACAAAACAGGAAAAGTAATTAGATGATGAGCCAGACTGTACATAGTATCTACTTTATTAACGTTATAAGCCAAAACTAATCACTTCAATGGAAACTGGTGAATGACAAGGTACCCAAAGGACTCACTAGCAATGAAGGCTTGCCATTAAACAAGGGTAAGATGTACATATCCACAACAAGTCCACCGGTTGTGAGAGAAGCTTACCTAACTCAATTTCAAGAAGATTTCACCATGTTTCTCAAGTCTCGCTCCGAGGAGATGGTTCCTGATGGTTGTATGGTCTTGATACTTCACGGTCGACAATCTGCAGATCCCTTGGATAAGGAGAGCTGCTGGCAATGGGAGCTCTTAGCTGAGGCCATTGCCGATATGGTTTCACAGGTACAATTGCCAAATTCTCACATTATTCATCTTTCCTACTTAAGGCTTGGGCTTCATACTGATCTTATATATATCCTCATTCATTTCCTTACCAATTATAAACCTAGTCTTAAGATTGCTCTACCTTTCTAAGTGCATAAATATTCCATTGAATCCTGTTTAGAAAAGTAAAACTCTAGAATTCTAGACACTGAATCCAAGCTCTAAGTTGAACTATAAATTTCCCAACATGATAATTGTCCAATGGTGTTTAGTGATCACTTTATATTCTCTCTAGCTCTTTGTTCTTTTATATTTATTATTATTATTATTATTATTTTTCCGAATAGGGATTGGTTGATGGAGAGAAATTAGACTCCTTCAATGTACCATACTATACACCATCAGTAGAGGAGGTGCAAGATATAGTGGAGAAGGAGGGATCATTTGCAATTGAATGTTTAGAGATGTTTGCCCTTGAATTTGTGGACAAGGAAGAAAAAGATGCATGGACTAAGGGGGAGAAGCTAGCGAAGAATATCAGGTCCTTCACAGAATCATTGTTCTCATACCACTTCGGAGAAGAAATACTCGAGAAATTGTTTCAAAAATTTACTCATATAGTAGTTGAGGACTTGGCCAAAGAATCAATGAACACTACAAGCATTATTGTTGTGCTTAGCAGAATCCTGGGATAGCTTAGTGTTTTAAATCCAACTTTTCAATAAAACTTGGAACTTGAGAAATTGATCAAGAGAGAATTCAAATTTGTCACAGTTTGAGTTGGGAGTGAGATTACGATGCTCTACATCAATCAATAAATGAATCCGATAAACTCTTGCACATTACCTAGTAATGGTTTTAAACATTTGTTATAATTGAAAATCTCTATAACTGCATTCCAAATAACTTAGTGTAGAAAGAACTTTGTTGCAGTAATAAGAAACAATTCGAAGACAAGGTTGAAGTTACTTTCTCATTTGGGATATAATTGAATTACAAGCTAGGCTTCGATAAAACAATTTTAATTAAGAGAAATGCTTAAATTAGAGGGAGGGGTGTTTTCACTATCACAGTTGTTGCAAGGGACAAATTTAAATAAATGATGTATGGTAAAGAGCATTAAGATATTCAATTCAATTATTAATAATTTTCGTGGATCCAAAGTAATCCTTATTTCTTGTGAACAATTGACAACTCTCCGCTATGTTTATTGGTACAAGAGTCTTGATTTACTGGCGTGATGTTGATTGATCGTTTTGATAGCAATTGCTGTGGCGATGTTGATTCCAGGCCTTTGGGCCCTCTCAATAGCTCCTTCCTTCAAAATTGTGTAGTAAACCAATATTACTATTATTATATGGTTCATGAGGAAGAAAATGTTATAAGTGGGCCTTGGTGTGCCGAAGGAGGCCTGAACCGGGCAATTAAGCCCTAACAGAAGCAAAGATGTTCGGAACCAAAAATACAAAAAGGACCATCGTCTCAATCAATCGAGGCCCATAGTGGGAGGAGGATTCATTATCCATTGGTTGCGTTACGGCTATATGTTCTAACAGTTACTCTGGACAGTGACAGTATTTCCCGCTCAAAATTGGGCCTAGCAAGCAGGCGGGTTAGGTGACTGAAGTATGGAATTGTACTCGTGTTTTACGACTCACTTATATCTGCTTTTAGCGGGTCAAATATGAGTCGGGTCAAAACATCGCAACCTAATTACGGTTTTCTAAATTAAAAAAAAAAATTTATTTTAGCTAATTCTACCCTCATATATATATATATATATATATATATATATATATATATATTATTTTGGATAGATAAAAATGAGTGGTTGAAATTGATTAGAAACATCTAAACTCTGATTGAAATTTTTTAAAATTCAAATTATCTTTTAAAATTTAAAACTATAAATCCAAGTTATTATGTGTTTGAACTATTTATAAAATCTCAATTAGCAGCATAATTTAATACAACACATCTGTTTTTCAATTTTTTTGGCTTTAACCTTTTTTTTTTCTTTTTTTTTTTTTTATATGGAATTTTAAGCAATTGTATTAATATAAAAGTAAATTACATAGTGGGTCTTTGACCAAAACAACCCCAAATAAGGACAATAGCACAGCCCAATAGGCAAACAATTTAAAACCCATAAGCAACAATAACCGCAATTAACGGTTGATTAATCGTTAATGGTGGAAAAGCTCCAACCTGGTGAGTCCAATAGCAGTGATCCGGCGGCATGGCCTGCGAGGTTCAGTCTGGTGGTCTTGGAGGAGGACGACAACATGAAGGTGAGAGATTCCATTCACAAAGAATTCTTTTTAATGCTTGGCACTCCTGAAAACAACCCAATCTTAGTATGGAGGTGATGGTGGAGCAGATGCAGGTAGGGACAATTCTTTGTGTTGCTTTCTTTCATCTGAAAATTCTATCATTGCGCTCTTTCCATGTATTATGGTATACAATTGAGAAGAAACATACTTTGCGAAGTAGATTTGCAGCTGAATTCCTCTTCCATTGGATGCTGATCCATTGGATTAGGTTATCCCAATTTGTAGTTGAAGTACAAAAATCGAGCTTTTTGCTTGACGAATCTCCATAATGGTGAGAAAAAACAACAATTGAAGAACAAATGCTCATGTGATTCTGGCTGAGCACGGCAAAGGACATAGATGTTCTCATGATGGGCCATTGATTTGTTGTCCAATGTAGGGAGCTTGGATTGTACAACTACCCAAAGGTTAAACTTCATGCAAGGGATTGTTGGCAATTTCCATACCAGATTGTGCTATTACACTGAAGTTAGCCGACCTGTTAAATGAGTATATATGTGTTTGAGGCTGTATGTCCCTATAGGAGATGCTGTCCATAATAATTTATCACTTGTTGATGGATATGGTGGAAGCAAAGTGAGGAGTTCTGGGATTGAAGAGACAATGCAATGTGGGAAAGACCAAGATGAGTTCACTATAAAGCTCTTAACTAAGAGATGTCTATACTGAATCCACCATCAGTGATAATTTGGCTTGGAAATCTAGTGCTCAAAAGACCCCAAGGTACCCAATTATCCCACCAGAATTAAGTGTCACTTCCATTACCAATTTTGTGCTTCGTGAGTAGTCTTGCAGGGAGTCTCAGTTGCAGAATCTTTCTCCAGCTCCATAAGCATGGTTGTGGTGTCTTGAAAGTCCAAAAGTTTATAGACTTGATGAGATAGGTTTTACACCACCTAATCCAAAGTCTGTTATTATCTTCATTGTGTAGGTCCCAAATAAATCTTAGAATTCCAGCTTTGATTGAAATTTCTAAGTTAGGGATACCCAATCCTCCCTCATCCTTAGGTCTGTACACCTTACCCGAATTAACTTTAGCTCCTGCGGTCTTCATTTCAGGACCTGACCAAAGGAATGATGTTAGGATTTTGTTTAGCTCATTGAGAACAACTTTTGGGAGAATGAAGATGCTACACCAATAAATTTGGGTTGATACAAGGATTGCCTTGATGAGTTGAAGCTTGCCTGCATATGATAAGGATCTAGATAACCAATGGGTTACTTTATGAGTAATTTTCTCAATCAAAATACTGCAATGAGTTGCCTTTAGATTTGTGGATATCAATGGTACTCCAAGATACTTTACAGGTAGAGTACTAACACCAATGCCAAGTAAACTAGAGATGTTACTCAGTGTATGTTGGTCGATTCCAAAGAAAAAAACATTACTTTTGGATAGATTGACTTCAAGGCTAGACATTGAGCAGAAGTGATCCAAAGCACATTTAAGAACGGAGACAGATGTGATATCTCCATGACACAAAAGTAGGAGATCATCAGCATATGAAAGGTGTAATACCCCTAATTCTAAAATGATAGTCTCGGTATTATTTTAAATATTTTAATTACATTTTTATTTATTTACTTGATTATTTGACTATTTGATTACGTGTTTAATTGAATTGGTTGATTAAGTATTTTATTTGCTTAAATGTTTTTATTTGACTTAACTGATTAATTGAAAGTATGTGCTTGAATGTTATTTGAATTAGTTGATTTAATTGATGTGTTTTATTTATTTGTAATTACTTGTAAATTAAATAATTAAATGTTTATTTTGTTTTTTTTTTTATTTTATGGATATGATTAGTAGTAATGGACCAACCAATTGGGTCACATGGATTACTTGGATAAGAGGTTTAATGGGCATGGATAGTTACCCATAGATAGTTTTATATATATATATATATAAAGAAAATAATTTATTAATTAATATTATTATAACTTAGTATTAATAATCTGATGTATATATTTTTATATTTGTATAATAAGGATATACATAGATTATATACGTAACATATTTTTAATTACCCATGAATAGTTTTACATATGTGTATATATATATATGTATATATATAAAGAAAGTAATTTATTAATTAAAATTATTGTAACTTAGTATTAATAATTTGATATATATATTTTTATATTTGTATAATAAGGATATACATAGATTATATACGTAACATATTTTTAGTTACCCATGAATAGTTTTATATATATATATATATATATATATATATATATATATATATATATATAAAAGGAAAGTAATTAATTAATTAATATTATTGTAACTTAGTATTAATAATCGGATGTATACATTTTTATATTTGTATAATAAGGATATACATAGATTATATACTTAACATATTTTTAGTTACCTTTTTAATATTTTAATTTTATTATTTTCTTTATTAAGTTGACTTGGATTAGAAAAATGATTAGGGTTATTTTATTTAGCCTATAAATATATAATTATAGGTCTGAAAAAAAGGGAATTAGAAAATAAATCACGTAGTATATTTTTTTAGAGAGCGGAAGAAGAAAGAAAAAGGAAGAAAAATAGGAAGAAGGAGGTTAGGGTTTTTATCAAAATTCTTAAGGCAAGTTCTTTTCTTCTCTTCCCATTTTATTCATATTCTATACAAGCTTAGATTAATTCTAGGATATTTAATTTAATTAATTGAACCTATTTGCATGATAAACTCTAAAATTACAGTATATATAGTTTATGTAATGTGTTTTGTATATTGTGTGTGTATCTGTATTGTTTAATCTGTTTTAATGATTTTTAAATTGTTAAATTAGATTATGGAGGATTTTAAAAACATGATTTAAGTACACACGTTAAGTATAACATTTAATTAATTTAAAAGGTTAAATTAATTAAATATGGTTGGATTAAATTATTTTAATCAATTATTTGGTTTTAAATAAATTTGATCAGATTGTGGACTAGTACAATTATTTGAGATGCATATTAATTTTTATGAGATGAATTCAATGCATGCTACTTAGAATTGTTATGTTTTGTTCAATTAAATGCAAATGAATATATGTATGATTTATATCATATATTTGAGATGCATATTAATTTTTATGAGATGAATTCAATGCATGCTACTTAGAATTGTTATGTTTTGTTCAATTAAATGCAAATGAATATATGTATGATTTATATCATACTATGTATGGGTTTATTTGATGTGATATTATAACTGTAACATCATTTATGGATTGTATGCATTATATGCACCAGTATGGGATGGTGGCATATTAGGGACGGATTAACTAAAAACGTTAAGTCCTACCTATTTATGTATAACGGAATGAATTAACTAAAATGTTAAATCCTACATATTTTTATGCGGGTCAACTGAATCAGTTGTGTGACATATCGGATATTTATTTTATGTTTGAATAGGACAGATCATATATAAATAGTTATATGCCATGATATGAGCTTGAGTCTTAAGATCATGGTTAGGGTGCGTATATTGCCAGGGATGTGTACCTAGATATAATGTAGTTGTATACCCTGGTAGGTTTAGGTACTCATACCCACTATATGTGCGTTTTGCATGTTACTTACTATTCAGGTTGAGACAAGCCTATAGTCTAATGAGGTTCATTTAGTATGTATCTATATATATACTGACTATATAGTTATTATTGGATTGACTAGGATGTATATGAGTTTTGAGTCTCTGTTTGGGATATAGTAGATTGGAACTTGTTTGTAAGCTTGACCCACCATTATTTTTCAAGTGTTCGTCAGTTCCAGGCTTAGGGATTGTTCGTGCTGAGCAGAGACGATTTATTCACTCATCCGTCTTAACGTAGGATTTCCTTATTATTTTTTTAGTCAAATATTATTTTATTTCAGTTGGATTTTGGATTAGGGGTCTACATGATGGATTTTCAAGTTGTAATTTTAATTAATTACTGGTATCAGATGATTTTGTTATTAGAGTTTTATTATTAGATTAATTAATGATGATTTATTAATTAGTATTCTTTCAGCTTTATTCTTTATTCTTAATTCATTTTGTATTCCATGTTTGTTAATTACCTAATTGTTTTGGTATCCCTCGGATCTGTGCTCGGACTTGATCACCCGTGGTTCTAGAATCAAGGAGTATCACAAAAAATGAGTTATTATGAGTTCTCCACACCTCCAATGATACTTGAAAGTATGAGCTCTTCCTACAAAGTTGTTGATAATTGAAGACAATTCATCCATTACCACAAAAAAAAAAAAAAAAGGTGAGATAGGGTCACCTTATCTCAACCCTCCTTTGCCCTTGAAGAAGCCCTGAAACTCACTATTCAGTGCTATGGTAAAAGATGCTAATGAGATGCAAGCCTGCACCAGTGAGATGAATTTAAGGGGAAAGTTGAGGAGTGTAAGACATGAAGTGATGAAGTCCCATTTTACTGAATCAAATGCCTTCCTCAGGTCAATTTTGATGGCACATTTTGCTGTAGTAGAATTCTTGTGATACCCCCTTAATAACTCACGGACAGAAGGATAGGATTAGTAATCTTTCTCCCTTGGATAAAAACTAATTGAGATGAGTCAATGATGTGCGGGAGTGAGGTTTGTAACTCTTATGCCAGTAGCTTTGCAATGCACTTATAGACTATGTTGCAACAATATTGGCCTGTAATCATGTATGGTTGATGGATTCTGACATTTAGGTACCAGGGATATATATGTGTTGTTAGTTTCTGAAAGTAGTTTCCCATTTCTAAAGAACTTAAACATGGCATTAGGGACAGGTCTACCAACAATACCCCATGCTTTTTGGAAGAAAAAGGCATTAAAACCATCTGGGCCTAATGCTTTGTCACTGTTGAGGTTGAACATACATCTTTGAATGTCCAGGTTTGAAGGGATTTCCTCCAAGTAATTGTGCAGGTGAAGAGGGACTTACTTAGTGATGAATGGTTGAAGACTAGATAGAGAATGTGTTGCAGGTGGTGACCATCCAAGTAATCTTTGAACATGTGAGGCCACTTCTTGCTTAATCAACTCCATATCCTCAATAATATACCATCATCACAGGTAAGGGAAAATATCTTCTTCTTGTTATTTCTAGATGAAAAGGATTTGTGAAAATTAAAATGATGAGTTGCAATCACCCAATTTCAACTAGGTCATTCTTGATTTCTGTTTTAGCATGTCTTCCTGGATTTTGGCCAACCTAAGGTACTCCTTGATAATGCCTTTCTCCAACTGTCTTAGGTCAACGACAAATGGTGAGTAATCAAGATCCAATTGGATAAAATCTATTTCCATTTTCACGGCTTGTAATTTGGAATCAACATCAGAGTACTTCTTTATACAGTTAACCTTTAGAGTTTGCTTCAAGAGTTTGAGCTTTTGAACTACTTGGAACATTGCAGTACCCCTGATGAAAGTGCACCAAACTTCATGTACAGAGGTGGGGAACTGAGGATGTGCACTCCAAGCATTGAAAAACCTGAAGGGAATACACCTGTTTGGTAGTTTGAAGTCTAGATTTACCAATATTGGGCTGTGATCTGATGTACCTGGTGTTAAGAAGATACAATCTGACTATGGAAAGGTTAAGGACCACACGTGGTTGACCAGTGCTCAATCCAATTTCTTGGTGATGCATGCAGCTCATTCACTTTTGTTGCTCCAGGTGTAGAGGATTCCACTGAATTTGAGGTCTTCAAGCTCAGCTTGCTGTAAACAATCCTTGAAATCTGTCATTACTGGGCACCATCTCGTTGATCCACCATGTGTCTCTCCAGCATTTAGGATGACATTAAAGTCCCCATAAGTAACCATGGAGAGTGGCAAAAGAGACCTGCATGATGGGTAATGTCCTCCTAGAGGAACTTTCTTTCATTTATATCATTTGCAACATAATGAATGAAGTGAAAAAGTTGATGTTGTGACCAATAATGGAAATACTACAGTGAATTGCCTACCTAGTGGTAACAATGATTGTAAGATCAATAAGAATTGGGTTCCACATTACCCAAATTCTTCCCAATTGTGAGAAGTTCTAATTATGGACAATGGACCAGTCTGGTGCCAATGACCTATGGATGGAAATCACATTGTTGTGAGACACTTTGGTCTCCACAATAGAGATTAGGTCCAGTCTTTTCTCAGAGATTATCCTCTTAATCTATGACTGTTTAGAGGGTTGGTTTAACCCTTTAATGTTACATGTGACAAAATTGATCATTTAAATAGAGGATTTAATGAACCTCCAAGATGCCTGTGGTTAGTTAAGGGACCTTCAGCCATCAAAACTGAGCTGCTCCTGCAAGACATTTTCCCTGTGACCTTCTTCATTCTTCTGTGTGCCATATTTCCTTGGTTGATAATTACAGGTGGTTCAATGCTTTCTGGATCACTTAAGGAAGAGAGCACATGATTTTGGTTTGTTGTGGTAATGCCGTCTAAGCTGTATTTTCTTGTTTATTTCCTGTATTGGGGGAATGTGGTTGGTGTAACTGTTGTAATTGGTATGGTTAATACAAGTAGTGGTAGAGTTTTGGGGGATAAGGGGCTGGCAAGTGTGAAATTTAGTTTTTTGCTACAGAGATGGGAATGGATAGGTGTGTGTGATCTAGATTGTGGTGATGAGTGGTTGCATTGTTGAGTGGGAGAGGATGTTGGGCTAATGGTGATGGGATTAATGGGTGGAGTAGAATCATGATTCATTTGTGATAATAGAGAGAATTGATTGCCATTCGATTGGTTCTATGGTAATGATGTGGATACTGATTTGGCTGTACCAGCTTTCTTCTTCTTCTTCTTCTTCTTCCTTATAGTTACCCATTCAGTGCTTATTGGATACATTGCAGGGCTGTTGCCCTTTTGAGGTTGACCATTGATGTCAGCAGCAATGAGAGTGCCTTTGCCCTTGTGATTTGGAGTGTCGATGAAGTTGAGAGGGCATGACATTTCAGTGTGGTTCAGATTTGGTACAAAACTTTGGTAGCCACTGGTACTCAGTTCTGACCTGCTCAAAGTTGTTATCCTCTATTCTTATATTTTCTGTCGCTTGGTCTGCATAGAGAGGTTCTCCCACATAGTTGGCAATATAACTAAGTCCTTTAGCAATCCAGAATTGAAAGGGGATGTCGTGGAACTTTATCCAAGTAGGGATGCAAGCATGCTAATTTGAGTGGGGTTGGTTATGATGATTCCATTTCATTAGAAAAAAAAGTGTGTCCTGCAATTGACCATAATCCGTTGGATAGAACAGTTTCTGTTTCTGTACTTGAACTGAATATGAAAAAATAAGTGTTGTTCTCACCCAAGATAGTATCTGTAAGACCAAGATTCCTCCATAACTTTGTTGCAGCTGATTATATGACCTTAAATGCAACTCTCTTGTGTGTGGAGATCCCCACTAGGTGAGTAGTGGCCCAGAATTGAAAGCATTCTTCAGCAACTTCCTTTGGTAGGTCAATGAAGTTCGAAGACCCTGGAGGTAGGGGAAAGAAGTTGAAGCTAATCTTGTTTTTGCTACTTTTGTTGACCATTTCAGACCATGTCTTTGTATGATGGGTAATTGTTGGTGGTGGTACTAGATTTGGCTGTGTATTTGTGATGTGATGTACTAGGTTTGATAGGGGTAATGGGTTTGCTAGGGTGGGGGAGTTATGTTGATAACTAGAAGGAAATAGATGGATTGTGTCTAGGTGGTTAGAGTGGGGGATGGCTTTTTGTTTTTGTGTGTGCCTGATGTGTCAATAGGAACCTGCAAAGTAGGATTGACCATTGACGTATTATTCAAATTCAAATTTAAATTTGAACCTGATCCTGCCTCAGTTGTATGCTCATCTCTGCTGGTGGTGACCTGTAGGTGTTTGTTGGGCGTGAATGTTGTTAACTGGAATAAGGGACTTCAGTTGAGCAAGCTCCTTCCTTAACTCTGAGATGATCTTGTTCTTTTCTTTGAACATGTCCATTGATTTGCCCAGATTGTCATCTAACCATTGTAGCTGCTCTGTGAGATGTTCAATCTGATGGCCTGGGGAATCATATAAGAGGGGGTTGAAGTTCTTTGGATATTGAGGTGCTGATGAAGTGGAGGATAGCCTCTTGTTTGGTGAAGTGGAGGATGAACTCTTGTTTGGTGGGTTTTTCTCTGTCTGTAGTGGTATCTGCTTCTTTGTGGTGATTGTAATATGGTTAGTAATGCTTGGAACTCATACCGGTTTGATAGATGGTGAAGGAAAACATTGTCCATTGAGGAATGGTGGGAGTGGAGGTGGGTAAACATGGGTAAGCAAGGTTGAGGTGGATGGTTTAGAGGGGGTAAATTTATGTGGGATGTGATTTTGGAGTGGTGGTTTTAATGCCTCATTCTGTTTTGGTGCTGTTGATGAGTGTCTTGGTCTATGTAGAGGGGTAAATGGTGGTTTCAGGTGGTTAGGAATGAGATTAGTATTGATGTGGTCTGTGATGTTGAGGGAACTGGTTTGAGGAGGTATGTTGTTGCTTTGGTTTGGGGGGATGATCTTGTGATTATGAAAATGATATTGTTGTTGGTGTTGGTGATCTTGTTGCAACTGGTTTGAGGAAATATGTTGGTGCTTTGGTTTGTGGTAGATGAGTTTGTCATTATGAAGATGATGCTGTTGATCTGGAAGAGGTGGTGGGGGTGGTAGTGGAGGAGGATGATGAAATGATTCTTCATTAATTAATTATTATTATTATTATTATTATTTTGTTGTATTCAAAACAATATATAAAACATCAACATGATTTAGGGATTTAACGATTACAAGATGTTTTTGCGGTGAATGACTAGTGAAAATAGTAAGCTACGACAAAAGAATTTCTCCCTCTATATGGCACTCCAATATACTACAAACATTTTCTGCGCATTTCATTTCACATAATTGATTTTATTTTGTCATCCATTTTCGCACTTGATATCTCCAACATTGACCGAATGTCTAACTTGTTACCGATATATATTAAATGAAAAATAGGAATGATGGATACTATTTGAAAAATGTTTTATAGCATTTCTTAAATGGTCTCGAGCAAAGAGGTTGCTACCTAGTTATAAGCATGAGGACTAACCATGATTGGCTATTATATGTACAAGTGTCTCAAATCTAATCGATCAAAACAGTTTAAAATTGAATTCTATAATACTACAGAGAAAAATGATTAAAAAAGTAAATTGAATGGTTCAAACCAGAATGAATATCTAGATTACTTATAAGTTGTAAACATAACTCTAGAGAATTCTATACATGTACCATTCTATATACCTAATTAGATTTTGAAAAGACAAATTATTCAAACTATGTCGTCGTGGATCATCCTATCTTTGCGACAGTATGGGATAACTTCTCATATTAGTGTGTATCATAGGGCTATCAAATTGTGAACAAAATACAAATAATAACTTGAATATGATACTATTGAACTTCTGACCTTCTAGATATATTCAAATGGAAGATATCAACCGTCTAATCCAAATTTAAAAACATTTTAATTAATATATTTAACTATTGTTGGACTATTATTTTGCTTACGAATGAAACCAAAAAGTCAAGATAGTAAGTGTCAAATTCCTTGCAACCCCATCTTAAAGTGACAAAGAACCCACAAAAGTCAAGAGAGTAAGTGTCAAATTCCTTGCAACCACATCTTAAAGTGACAATGAACCCACAAAAGTCAAGAGAGTAAGTAGCAAATTCAATCTTGAAAGTGAAGCAAACCAACTACTTATAAAACTGCTGATCAATGAAAATTATGAGCACCAAATTTACAGCAAGGAGGGGGACCATGGAAAAGAAGCAAGCACTTGACATGAACAGAGGAGGAGGAGAAAGTAGCTATTCTCAAAACTCTAAATTTCAGGTATATTTTTGCAATCCTCTACACTCTATTTTATTTTCCATGAATAAAATGAAGCTTTAGCCCAATTAATTAACATAACCAAAGTTGCTCCGTGCAGCAAAAAAGGTCTTCCATAACCAAACCCATATTAGAGAATTCAGTTCAATCTCTGATCTCAAAAGGATTCCACCTACACAAGCTTCTCAACGTGGTCGATTTGGGTTGTTCTACTGGTCCTAACACATTCTCTGTGATCCAGACAGTAAAAGAAACTGTGGAAAAGAAATGCAAGGAATTGAATTGCCAAACGCCGGAAATTCAGTTTTACTTGAATGATCTTCCTGGTAATGACTTTAATTCTCTGTTTAAGGGATTGTCTGGATTCTGTGACCAAACACAGGGTGAATCATTCTATGCTGCTGGAGTTCCTGGTTCTTTCCATGGCCGGCTTTTTCCTCGAAACACCTTACATTTTGTTCATTCCTCTTGCAGTCTCCACTTTCTTTCTCAGGTATATACACACACACATTTATGTTAAATAGATATACAGACACATATCTATACTTCAGGAATTTGAATTTTACGCAAGGATATTGTTTATGCATGCCATAGCTTTGCAATAAATCACTTGTCACAAGTAGTAAATTGGAGAAATGTGATGATTTCGATTTATGTATCATTCGTAGCCTATTAGGTTAGAAATGAGAAGCAAAGACCTGTCCAAGTTTAAGTTACATTTAACCTTCTATATTGGTATTTATCATTTACATGTTACAACCTCAATATGAGGCCAAAACAGGGGAAAATTACATGAACCATTTTTTGTATATAGTATTTACTTTAAATGTAATAGGACTAAACTAACTACTTCAATGGAAATGAAAAGGTGCCCAAAGGACTCACAAGCAATGAAGGCTTGCCATTAAACAAGGGGAAGGTATACATATCCACGACAAGTCCTCCTGTTGTAAGAGAAGCTTACCTTACTCAGTTCCAAGAAGATTTCACCTTGTTTCTCAAGTCTCGCTCGGAGGAGTTGGTTCCTGATGGTTGTATTTTCTTCACAATTCGCGGTTCTGCAGATCCCACAAGTAAGGACTGCTGCTGGCAATGGGAGCTCTTCGCTGAGGCCATTGCGGAACTGGTTTCAGAGGTAAAATTGCAGAGTTCTCACTTTCTTCGTGGATTGGAACTGAAGAAAAAAAAAACCATCACAACACATCTTACACCATTCAGTTTTCTGTTTCAAATTTCTGAAAAAACAAAACAATTTTTTATTTTATTTTTTATTTCTACCAACAGGGATTGGTTGAGGAAGGGAAATTAGATTCCTTCAATCTAGCATACTATTTACCATCACCAGAGGAGGTGCAAGATATAGTGGAGAAGGAGGGATCATTTGCAATCGAGCATTTGGAGACTTTTTCATTTGAAATAGGGGACAAACAAGAAAAGGATACATGGAGTCAGGGGGAAAAGTTTGCCAATAGTATGAGGTTCTACACAGAATCATTGATCTCACACCATTTCGGAGAGGAAATAGTTGATAAATTGTTTCAGAAAACTACTCGTCTATTAGTCGAGGAATTGGCCAAAGAAACCATCATCGCTGGAAGCATTCTTGTAGTGCTTAGCAGGATCCTGGGGTAGCTTAGTGTTTTAAAATGAACTCTCAAATACTGTAAAATTTAGTACTCCAGAAATTGATCCACAGAGAACTCAAATATGTTTGCATTTAGTTGATAGCAAAATTGTGATACTCTACGCCAATCCATACTTGAATCCCATAAAATCTTCCGGCATACCTAGTTATTAATGGTTTTATTATTTTTAGTATTATTATTTAATTGTTTGAATTCTTTTGAAAAACTACTTTTTCTTTAATTTGGAGTTATGAATGTCCTCTTTTTCTCTCTCTCAAGTGGACAATTACAATGTCTTCTGAATAGGTTTTTTCATATTAATCCCATCTAAGGGAATGCGGCCATAATCAAAGTGTTCAAATTGCATATGAAGAAATATATATATATATATATGAAACACTACAAAACATAGTGAAAATTAGTAGTTAAAAAAAAAATGTTGTGAAGAAATAATAATAAAAAAAAAGGAGGATATTTTGGTTCGAAAGGTAAAGTAAAGTCTATAGAGGGTTGCATAATAAAGGACTGACTGCATGAAGGTGACCGGGTTCACCACCTGAGTTCACAGGTAGCCCCTAGTGGCTAGTAGTATGGGGTGCGTTATTAATAATAATAATAAAAATAAAATAAAGGTTAAGTGCAGAAAATCCTTTTGTAATATAAAATTTGTGTACAAATAGTTCCTATTTTTTTAAAATATGCATTTCAGTTCATAGAATTTAAAAAATGTAAATTAAAAAAATCCTAATTTATCCCTTTCTCTTCCTATTCTGCCTTGTTTTATTAGTTGGGTTTCACGCATTTAACAACGGGTCTTCTCCAATTTTTTTAATATTACATAAATTTTTGTACACATGTTTTTTTATTTTTATTTTTTTATTGGGCCACCTAACCAATCAAGTTTGAAAGACATGTGTTCTTTTCTAAAACGGTAATTTTACCTCACTTTATTTTTTTAATATTATTTCATTTTACTGATAAGAGAGTATTATAATCTTTTTATGTAGACCGGTATGCACCAAATTAAAAGTAAAATGGTGTTTTATATCACACAAATTTTTTTTTGTACTATATCGATAGTATAGAGTTTTTTACACTTAACCCATAAAATAATATATTATATATATAAATAAACAAATAAACAAATAAACTCAAGTACGAGACTCATATTGACAAATTCTAATCCTAATTAGCTTCTAATTCTTACACTGATAAAAATAAATACTACTTAAATAATTAAATAAACAAACAAAACTCACTCTCAAAATCTTTTTGCAAGACCAGAGATTGATTTGGGGTATTGGGAAGTCCACACACATAATCGTTGATCTCTCAATTTACTTCCCAAGACCAGGTTACAATTTACTTGAGTTATAAGTATGCGTTACTGTCAATTTGCATTTTTTTTTTCTTTTGGTGAAATTAATTATCATTATATAATTTTGCATTTTTGTATTGGTTATATATACACTTGGACATTCTATTGTCTGTGTCTTCCATTGTTCTACGCACTCAAAAGAATAGTTTCTTGATTAAAGTTTCGGATAATTTGTCAATGCGTTTTATGAATTTTATGTATCCTGGAAGTAAATGTAGATAAAAAAAAATAAAAAAAGTGTTATAACTTTTATTTTCCTTTTAAAAAGCCCCTTCGTTTGGACTTGATAGACATAAAAAAATATATATATCTCTCTCTAATACAGTCGTATTGTTTTATTTCGATTGTATTTTTAAAATTTTTAGTTAATTTTATTAAAAATCAATGTTTAGGTTGTTAATTGATGATGGGTTTAGGTTGTTAATTGATGATGCATCCATTGCGTCATTGTAATAACCTGGGACTCCAATTGTTTGGTTTATCTATCAATTTGTTATGCTATTTATCTTCCTCTCTCTCTCTCTCTCTCTCTCTCTCTCTCTCTATATATATATATATATATATAAATTTTCCTGTGTTATTTAAAAAAAAAAAATCAACTTTATGAATACTATACATTATATTTAACTACTCGTTTATCTATATATATATATATAAATTATCCTATTTTATTTTAAAACTTTATGGCTTTCTTGAAAAAAATAAAATCAAAAAACAAAATATATTTATTGATCTCTCTTTAAACTCAAATCCACCAAAAATTAAAACTTTTCTCTAAGTCTTTTTTTTTTTTTTTTTTTCCTTTAATCTCTCTATAAATGCAGAATTTATAAACATACATAAATATATTATGTTGGAATAATTCGATGATTTAAAATTGAATTGATCTTGTATAAATCAGTACACAACTAATGAATATTACACATGATAGGGAAAAATATAAACCTATTCTATCCTCGATAAGATTGATTACATTTCATTATCAAGGATAATGAAATTTGACGTGGTTCAATAGGTAAGAATAATCCTATTATAACTGGAGGAGGTCAAAAGGATTAAATCATATCCCGACAAATCTGGCAACAAATCTCCTATGATTTCGCACAAGCGGAAGATAAGATCAACCATCGACATCGGCGGAACGATTTTGATTCCAATCGACAGCCATAAATAGGGCACCAAGCCATTAAAGAAGGTACGACGTAAAAACTTGATCTTCGGAGAGCTCTTAGCAGGCACCACACCGGTGCCGTCAAGGTTCATCGATCTTCTCCTCTCTTCCTTGCAGAAAAACGGTATCGTATCGGACTGTGCGAATTTCAACCTCAACAGTTGGCGCCGTCTGTGGGAACGACGATTCCCTTGAATCAATTAATTACTCGTTGGGTATTTACGTTTGCAGTCCGGTATGGTTATCAAAGGAACACCGTCGCAGGGATCTGGTCCAAGGGTAAAGTCGGGTGAAAACCTGGACGTCCCAAACGACCAGGCACGGCTTGCAGCGTTGGAACTGCAGGTTCAAATTCTGAGTCAGGGTATGAACCAGTTGATCCAGCAAAATGCAACGCTCATGCAACACCTTGTTCCACCGGTTCAACAAAACTTTCCAGGACAAGATCTCTCAAGTCCAAACGGAGGTAATGGGAATCTTGAAGAGAAGGATAATCATCCCCCCCAAAATGAGACTGAAGTGGAACAAAGCCAGGTGGGAACCCGACATAGAGAGGTGGTTCACCCATCTCTCCCACGGAGTTCCCGACCTCCTGAAAGCATAGCCTTCTATCTTAAGGAAAAGACAAAGAAAGTTACCCATCTCGACTTGCAGATCAAGGATCTAAAGGGGAAAATGGAAGATGTAATGCAGGCTATGAAAGGGAAAGGTCCTGCCGCTGTAGATGACCTGGTACAAAGGACCAACCTGCCTTTCAGCCCCGCCGTTATGAAATGTCCACTACCTAGCAAGTTCAAGATGCCCTCGTTCAAAAGCTTCGATGGGACCAAAGATCCCCTCGATCACCTGGAAACTTTTTAAGCTCTTATGCATTTACACGCTGTGCCAGATGAAATCATGTGCCAAGCTTTTCCCACTGCACTTAAGGGATCAGCGAGAGTTTGGTTCAACAAGTTGAAGCCAGGATGTAACGACCCGGATTTCTCAACCCGATGCGTTAGTGATGAACCGAAAGTTAACCCGCTAACGGACCCGAAATGCGGAAGCGAAAGAAGCCAAATGATCTCAAGAGATGTACGTCATCCCTAAGGTCCCAAAATGACTCTCCATGAAGCCACGGAACTCAAATGAGCCAAGCAAATGAAGCAAGAATGCCTAACCCGAAAAGAGATGAACTAAGGGCAAAATGGTCATTTCTCACTGAAAAGGGTGCCACCGTGCACACCATTGGAAGGACAACGAAAAATGAACAAAATTAGACTCAAGAATCGTCTGATTCTGAGTCCGGGCAGAAAAGATATGAAATTCCAACACCCGATGCGAAAGTTATGAAGCAATGACTTAACATTTTTCAATATTTTCATAATAAACTTTGAAAACAAAAGTGCATAGAAAACGAAATACATGTCATTGGCCTCCGGCCTCATCTCATACATGTTAAATACATTGAAAAGAGTGCACTTACATACACTTTACATATACGAATCAACGAATACAAGTTTAAACAAATAGGGCTACAAAGAGGCATCTTATGCTAACACTTGCATAAAATAGAAACTTAGAAACTGTAAGCCATCCAAGGAGCAATGGAATCTTCAAATCCTGAATCCTGTACCTGAAATATGCCCCAGTATCGTAGGGGTGAGTAACATAAAGCTACTCGTAGGAGATGAGCATGCATCGACCTAACATTTTACAATTTTATCACCTTATGGTGAAATATGTTAAAGGGGCTCATGCTACCTAACGTCTATGTCAAGATGAGACCCAGGGAATATCCTAAGCTACCTAGATCATTTATATCATAATCACATTGTTCATGCAATTCAAACAACATGGAAACATGTTATACAAGGCAACAAGATATAGATTCTCAAAGTCTTCAACTTGAAATCCAAAATACGAAAACAACAAGTGTGGGTCATGCCACCTAACGTCTATGTTCAAAATGAATCTATAAGGTCATTCCTAACTTACATTTGAACATCAAAACACAAATTATGATATCGATGCAATTTAACCAACAATGGAACTTCCAATACAACGCATGAAGCATGCTTTCACAAAGCTACATCTTAAGCTCAAAATAGGAAATCAAATAAGGCACAACAAGTTACGATATCATCTAGTTATCAACTTGAAATGAAATACGAAATCAAACAAAGTGGATACTCGGATGTCACGCCAGATCAGACCGACAACATAGTTACTTTAGGGTTACTAGCCCATGGGCAACCTCCCTATGTGCGCACTAGACTATATAGAGGGACAATCCCCCGTACTTGAACCAAGTCCTAGCCGTAACCAAATAACGACATCCCCAAGTTTCCAAAATCAACAAATTGTGCAACAACGTATATATATCAACATGTATATACAAGATATCAACTATTTACCAAGCACAATCCAAATTTTGGAAACTTATACAATACATGCTTAAAATTCACAACTACTATGGCATGTAAGATGTCAAATACAAAGTGTGCAATTCCTTACACATAGCAACCATATATTCAATAAGGAAAAACATATTCTCATGAATATAAAAGTAACAACTATGTTATCCAATGCTCAAAAGTAATCAAGTGAACATACTTCAAATCCAAATCCATGATTTAAATATAGAAATAACTTTCAAAATGCAATTAAATCCAT